TATCCAGATACCACATTGTGTTGTTGTAGATATTTAATCAATTGTACAGTTTGCTTTAAATGTGATACCTATATAAGAAACAATAAGATAATTATTTTATGCTTGGAAAAGAAATTATGGGTCTACTTTCCTCGACAAATCAAGATTTTCTTGGAACTTCGTTTGTCAGCTGTTTAATTTGTTTCAGCGTAACTGCGTAGTTCTGAAGACTTTTCTTATATTGTTGGTATAGAAAGACTCGTCTGCCTTGCTGGGGGCGCTGTATAAAAACCGAAGGAGGCAGATCACCCGCTCAGAAGTCGGCGCGAAGCTAACCGCGATTCTCAGACATGAGGGAACGACTAGATATATATATCTTTATATATATATATATATATATATATATAAAGCTACAAGTTCTTAATCACTGGTAGAAATAGAACGCATACTTCCCGATATGGTGGAAACAAAATATTTATATAACTAATAAAAACGGTTTAAAATTTTTTTATACCGTTTTACACGGATAGGCTCCAACGCAAAGAATCAAATATGAAAGGGCCTGAATATGGAAAATATATATGGAAATACATATATAGAGTGATCAATGGCCTGCAAAAACTATAATATATGGAGGGAATATTTGTGCATTTTTAAGATGTACACCCTGGTCAAGTTCCGCGGGAAGTAAAAAATGTTCGAAATTCAAATAAATAAAATGGCCGCCATACAAATTTCAAAGCCTCCTATCACGGAAACTATTAGAGATAGGTAGGAAATACTCGAAGGAATGTCATAGAGGGTAACACTGGTCAACTGCCTGGGCTAAAAACAATTCAAGATGGCGATTTTAAAATGGCGGCCGAAGAAAAACTTCTTCGATCCGGCTGAAAATTGGCATGCGAGGGTCTTTAGGAGTCTTTAATCATAATTTGGGGTCAAAAATTTCTTTTCGTCATTTTTTAATATGGCTGCCATATCAGTGTCTTTTTCGTTAAAAATAGCTGCCGAAAGAGATTTTCTCTGATTCGACTGAAAATTGGCATGTGAAGGCCACTAGAAATAGATAATAATTTGTGCTCAAAATTTGTTTTTGCTATTTTCAAATATGGCCGTCATAGAAGCGTTCGTTGGCGGCAGAAAAAGAATTGCACACTCTTTGAAAATTGGCATATGGGGGTCTCTAGGAGTGCTTGATAATCATTTGTGATCAAAATTGGTTTCTCGCCATTTTCAAATGTGGCCGCCCATACAAACTCTTAGCGGCATATAAAAATTTGCACTAATTCGATTGAAAATGGACATGTCAGGGTCTTTATGAGTGTTTAATAATAATTAGCGGTAAAATTTTTGTTTTTCACCATTTTTCAATATGGCTACCATACAAACTTTTTTGGCGATAGATACAAATTTAACTAAATTTACCATAGGTAAAAATTTTGTTTCCGCTGTTTTTCGATATAGCCGTAATTTATTTATGTAACTTGCTTTGCTCGGACTGAAAATTAGCACGAAAAGATTTCTAAGATTGTTTAATAATAATTGTGTATATAATGTGATAAAGTGCCGAGGCTGCATGCCGAGGTCCGCGGAGGGCGAAGCCCGAAGCGTCCGCACGCCTTCGTATGGAGGTAACTATATACGGAGGCGTAATAGATTACGAGTACAAGATCTCACAATTGTAAAAATGTAAGGCATACTTCCCGATGTAGTGGAAATGAGATACTTATTATAGCGTTGTTGTATCTCAACCATATCTGTTAGATTCCTTGAAAGCTATGCCAAAGAAAAATATTTAGGGGGAAAAAATGCCAAACTACTGCCGAATTTCCTGTACTACGAATACCAAACGATAATCCAGAATACTCAGACCAAAACCAACTTAGAAATGTTCGTTTCTTGAATTGGCCCAAATCGGGAATCGACCTCCTCATCAAGCGCCCATAGTAGTAACTGCTGTGCTACCGAAGAGCATGAGCACACCCCGTAAACTGAACCCGACAACGCGCCTCAGGCCGAGCCCGACCCCACCGTAGAGAGAGATATATATATATATATATATATATAT